ATAATAATAATAATAATATAAAATAAACAAAGTGATTCTATGGAACTGTGACTTGTGCGATTCTACCTGTCCTGTGCAGGGATCTTTTCCCATTGTCCACATACATCTTCAGCCACTCTGCACAGATCTTAGTGAGAAAGTCTTTGTTCTTTATTATTCTGCTCCGATCAGCATCCCATTTCAGTTTGATCATGTCAGCCTCTGGTTTCAGTGCGATCCACGTCAGTGTCTTCATGTCAAATTCAAGAAAGCCTTCTCCGTTATAGCCATACTTCAACACTCCGTTCACACTGTCAGTGTTTTCATCCCATTCACATCCACTTATCCTCTGTATGACGTGGACACCTGAGAGAAAAATAACAGAGATGGCAAAGGACGATGAAGAGTGTAAACTGTGTGCGGTTATTTTCAGAGGTTTATGTAATGTTCCTGATTCAGGCCTTGAACATAACTCTGAGTCTGTCAGTGTTTTAATAATAACGTAATGCGTTTTATATTATTCAAGTGTCAAAAACTGATTCAATGCAGGAGTCATCTGATAAATATTTCATCTCTTGCAAACAATAAAAAGCAGAAAAACGTAGTATATCCAAAAACGAACCTAGTTATTTTTAATAGATAAAGTATTGCAAAATGCACATTTTAAACCACTCAGTTTTGATCAAGTCTATGATTTATCAGGATTTGAGATCAGGCGTAACAGAAAATACTGCACCTCCACTTTGGTTGAAACGCTGCTTCCATCTAAAAATGTGGCCTCTGAAGACATTTGGCTGATCCTCGAAACACTTCTGAGTGTACCACTCCAGCTGCTCAGGATTAGTTTGTAATATTTTCTTTGCCCAGTCCAGTTGTGGTTTTAATGTCTTATTGCTGCTGTCACAATAACCTGTCTGAATGCCGTCAAACACCATTACACCAATAAACTCCGGAACATTTGGGAGTCCAGAAGATCCACAGACAAAATACTTCAGTGAGTGTTTCACTGCAGGACAAACAGTGTTTATAATATTAAGGAATTAAGCACAAAATATACAAACATCATCAGAAATATGATGCATTCATTATGACCAAGCTATAGGAGTATTCTCATTGACAGCGATACTGTGTAACCTTTATTTTGATAAAAACATGTGGGCACAGGACCAGTATCGCTGATCTGCTTTGCACGTGTCAACATCAGCATCTATCCAAAGTAAACGAATTAGAAACTTTGTTGTAAAGCTGCTTTAATAAGCTATTTCTGACATGAAACTTTCAATAATATATTCTAAATATGTACTTTTAAAGCTGTGTACGCCAAAACGTTTTTAAACACTTATGGAAAACTGGAACTAAAACTCAGTTCTGGTGTTGTGCCAAAAATCGCTTGATGCGAAAAACTGATTTCCAATGTTTCCGTGTGCTTTTTAAATGTGTAATATCTTTACGTTCGTTGGTAAATAGACTTCGGTGAACAGGGTTTACAAAGGGGTTACTTATAAAATATATGAAATGATCAGTTTTTTAATTACCGTGTACAATTGTCCTTACATTATAACCAACCCGGTCCTTTTTGTCCACTTAAAATATTTTTACGGAATTATTGTTATATTTCTGCTGTCTTGGACAGATTACTCTTAAAAAGACATTTTTAATGTCAACGAGATTTTTTTAACTGCATAAATAAAGGCTATATAAAAGTCACTGCCAAAAACTGATTGCGGCTTCTACTTTCTTACGGGAATATTGTCTGTGCCTCAAGATGACTTGATATCATTCATGAGGGATACATTTGTTTCACATGGTATAGAGCAACACGATATTTATAGTAATTTAAATACGGACAATCAGTTTTTGGCAGGCGATCACTTTTTGGCACAACACCGGGATAAAAACTTCAGGTTTGTCCGAGTTCACTAAAGTAGCTCTCTTTCTACCTGTCTAAATCACAATGTTAACTTGGAGCAGGTTATGGTCAGAATTTCAGAAGCGCGATGTGTTTACAGAATTCGCTGCAAGTTTTAAACGCAAGATCCTCTGCTGAGGAAATATGTGATTTTGTTAAAATCGCCGTTTCTTACCTGCCAATAAATCACAGCATAAATGAAGCAACAAAAGTATCTTCATCTTTCCTTTATCCTTAATTTTAGAACGATCATTGCTCATGTTGCAGAAGTATAAACCGGAAATAAGTCCTTATTTAAACTTCTGCAGAGATTATGAAAACTGTACCAGCCTGTCTGCCGAAACCACTCCCAAAACACGAGCAGGCGAAGGGAGAAATGGTAGCGATAAGGAAGCCGGAAATGCATAAAAGGACACAGTAGGCCTCTTGTGCAACTTACTATGATTCCTATAATAATATACTAATAATAATTAAAATAATTTCTTTATATCATTTATTCATTGCTATTCTGTTTTCCTCCCTGTAGTAGTGTTATCTGTGCACGCAGTCTTTTCTGCCCTTTTTAATCGCTTGATGTAGCAATGGACAGTTTTTAGTTGATAAATAAAGGTTTAATTTTTTTAAAGTACTCAGGACTCAATCACAGCCACTGTGAGCATTTCCTATTTAAAAAAAAAAAAAAAATTAACTCTCTTGATGACAAGAGCCTTAACGTAAGAGCATATGAACTCATTTATGGTACAAAAAATAGAAAATAAAGTCTCAGATAGTTAAAGAGTTAATAAAAAAAAACATTTGGAAAATTACAGCAGACAAAGAAGATAAAGGAAATATGTTGCAACAGAATTTAAAAATTAATATTAATCGAGAATGTTATGTCTTGAATGTTGTCTGGTGCTTTCCTATAGACATTATCTAAGTATTCTTTGCTATTTGAGTGAATTAAAGTGTCTTTTTCTCACTGGATCAGAACACACATCCATCGTTGAAACAGTATTATCTTTACTCCAAAAAAAGATTACAAAATATTACACAAAAGTTGTGTTCCGAAAAGCAAGAAGCACTTAGTACCTCAGTGCAAAATCAGAGCACCTGAAGGTGCTTTAGGTAAAAGCTCTACAATAATACAGAGAAAACCAACAGTCAGACACCCCCCTATGACCAAGCACTTGGTGACAGTAAGGTAAGGTAAGGTAAGGTAACTTTATTTATACCTAAAGGCAAGGTAAATTTGCTTTACAGAAAAATGACAGCATTTGACATCCCTTTAAAAACACACATACCTAGTAAATATATAAAACTCACTGTGACACATACTTTAATATTTCGAATCAAAAACAGTTCTTATTTAATTCAGTGACAGCAATGGGGACAAAGCTATTTTTATAACGCTTTGTCCTGCATCTTGGAAATAGAAACCTCCGTCCTGAGGGAAGAAGCTGAAATTCACCCCTTAGAGGATGGGAACCATTTTTAAGGATTGATAAAGCCATCCTCTGTACCTGCTTAGAGTACAGGGAGGCTAAACAAGACTGTGGCTCACCTATCAGACGACTGGACCATCTCACTATCGGATTTAGAGAGTTTTTCTCTGTGACAGAGGTCTGACCAAACCATGCCACCAAACAAAAGGATAAAACAGACTCAATAAAAGAACGATAAAACAAAGTTAAAATTTTTTGGTCAATGTGGAAATGAACAAGTTTCCTAAGGCAATAAAGGTGCTGGTGACCCTTTTTACAAACTGATTTGCAATTTTGATCAAAGTTCAGTTTTTCATTGATTATGGTCCCAAGATATTTATATGATTGTACTTGCTCTATTTTCTGACCTTTAATTAAAGTGACTCCGTGCCCATTTTGTTGTTTCCTAAAATCAACAACCATGTCTTTTGTTTTAGATATGTTCAGCTGGAGATAAGACTCCTCACACCACTGAACAAAGTCATCAATGACTGGACCGTGGTTAATTTCACCCTCTTTCAGTAAGCTGACAATAACAGAGTCATCTGCATATTTAATAATGACCCTGTTTTCATGTCTGCCCTGACACATGTTTGTATAGAGAGTGAATAATAAGGGCGATAGGACGCAGCCTTGAGGAGAACCTGTGGAGGAGAACACTGGGTCAGACAGAACCCCATTTATTCTCACTCTTTGTGACCTGTCAGTTAGAAAATCTAAAATCCAGCCCACCAGGTTTTTCCTGATTTCAAACTGTTCTAAAAGTCTTTTAATTAAAATATGGGGCTGTATTGTATTAAAAGCCGAAGAAAAATCAATGAAAAGAAGTCTTGCAAAAGTCCCTTTACTCTCTACATGTTTAAGAATTAGATTTAGTAAAGTCAAAAGTGCGTCCTCCACTCCTCTGTTGGGCCTGTATGCAAACTGCATTGGATCCAGCTGACCTTCAGTCTCTTTCATAATCACATTTCTGATGATTTTTTCAAAGACTTTCATGACAACTGAAGTAAGGGCAACAGGCCTGAAGTCGTTTAGAATTTTTGGACGACTAGATTTAGGGACAGGAACCACGACTGCTTCTTTCCAAAGAGAGGGCACATGTTGTGTTTGCAAGGATTTGTTAAAAATAACCTGAAATATAGGACTGAGTTCATCAGCACAAGATTTAATTAGGCGGCCACTAATATTATCAGGACCCTGGCTCTTATTCACATTGACTGTATGAAAGGCCTTTTTAACATCGCTGAGTTCAATGATAAAGTGCTGAGTATCTCTCAGTTTCTGTTTCAGTTCCAAAATATCCTCGCTAAAATCAGAAGAACTAAAACGAGCATAAAACATGTTTAAAGCATTTGCAAAATCTCTGTCTGAATTAAAACCATCTAAAATGACCTGACTGCTGCTCTGGGGATTTTGAAACCCTGCTATGGTTTTCATACAAGTCCAGGCAGACCCCAAATTTTTTGCAGCAAATTTGCTTTCAAGAAGGTTTTTGTAGCTCTGTTTTGCTTTCAAGATCTCGATTTTCATTTCCTTGGTGGCTGTCTGAAAATCGGTAACAGCCCCTCTTTAAAGGAATGTCTCTTTTTCCTTAAACAGGATTTGACACTTTTAGTGACCCATGGCTTATTGTTAGCGTAAATTTTAACGCGCTTACGGGGTATAATCATGTCTTTACAAAATACTGCATAAGAGCTAGTAACATCCACCAAAGCAGTAGGATAAAATGAAGGAAAACTTGAATTCACTTTACACTTTACAGCAGGAACAGCCATAACAACCGATATGGAAAAAAAAAAAAAAGTCTCAGCGCAATAATAAACAATAATAATAATAACAAAAAACAAATTTCAGTGATTGCTTTCAGACATGCCCACCCAAAGGAGAAAGAGATTATTCACTTGGCATTTGATGTGCATTAAAGTGGACATAAAACACTACCTAGCCTAATTTACACCACGGAGCCTTGTCCCCCCAAAATGTCACAAATTTAATACTTTCTGTGAGGCTGTGATTTAAAATACAATTTTTAGAGCATGGGCAGTGCCATCTTGTTAGAAAACAGAATATGACATTACTAGGTTGGCTGGTTGCTGATAGTAGTCCTACATTAGTCCAATAACTATGTTGTTGACTGCCCTGTAGACATCATTTGGGTTGAGATCTGGATTTTGAACACTGTAGTACTTTTGTGTTTCAGGTATTCTTTTGTTGATTTGTTGTAGCTCTTCTGAACTTCAGGATCATTGGAAGAAACTTAAATTTTAGTCAGTGCTGTCTGACTCTTTCCTACCACTACAAGACTGCCGTGTTTCAACCCTGAGCTTTAATCCAAAGAGCGATCAGTGGAGTGAGTCATCTGGCCGTCTATGTCATCTGCCAGGCCTCTTTTATAAATTCTTATCAGACTCTGTCTAAATCCCTCACTGACTTTTAGCCCCATGCAGAAGTATAACAGTGGGTTCACACAGCTGTTGAAGTAGGCAATACCCTTTGCTACAGGGAACCAGATTTTGAACAGAGCGTATTTACTGTCCACCATCTTCACCAGTAAGAGGCAGTGGTAAGGCGCCCAGCACAGGAAGAAGGCAATGACCAAACATGCTAGTATACGTAGAGGGCGGGTCTTCCCTGACAGGCGGGTGCGTCGGATTCCCACAGCGGCCAAGATATAACAGACCAGAATCACCATAAAGGGAATTATGAAGCCACACAGGAAGCGGATGGAGTAGAGAGCAACTTTGGTGCTGTTGTACCCTTCTGCGTTCTCTTTTGGATGAAGAGAGCACATACTCAGGTTCTTCTTGCACAGATAGACTTGGCGATGGATGAAGTAAGGAATGCTGAAAAGGATGGCTGCTATCCAGATACAGACTGCCACCACCCTCGCTGCCCACAGGGTGCGACGACGCTTTGTGAAGACGGGCTGCCAGATGCAGAGCACTCGATCCAGACTGATCACAGCCAGCAGGAAGACAGAGCAGAACATGTTGGTGTATTTGAAGAAGGCATCGAACTTGCAGACGAAGAGGCCGAAAGGCCAGTGCTCAAGGAAGAGCTTCTTAGTGAGAGAAAAAACTCGTGTGAAGCAGAAGATCAGGTCTGCTATCGCCAGATTCACCAGCCACACGTTGGTGACCTTTGGCTGTGGATGAAGAAGAAGATAAAACACGATGGAAAAGTGAAGAAAGGAAAAACAAAAATGAAAGGTAATATTTACATGAAACAGTAACCAGAATGGGATTTTATCAGCTATTATGAGGTCCTATTTATATAAATGTTGCTACTAAACATAATCCTCTACCTTATTTCAGGCTCAGTCGTCTTAAACTAGTCCAAACGCTAAACAAGTGCCTTTTGTACATAAACTTAACTTAACTTGATAAACTTAATCACATCGCTCTTGAAATAGAAACAGAAATTAAGTTCAAAACAGTCTTCTAATTTATGTGTCACACTTCAGAGTGTGGGGAGTTTTGTTGGTATTTCACCTTGGAAACACCATCCATTACTAATTCTGTTCATCTGTGTGAAATGAATGTGGTGATAACCACATCCCAGTAGGTGAAAGAGGTTTATATTTATATGCATTGCTCACTCAACACACACACACCATAGCTATCACATCCCAGGCATATGTTGTGAAACCACCTACACCTATCTCCTACACCAGTAAAGGTCACAGTTTCTTAACCCCAAGTTTATTTACTGTCTTTACAGTAGAAAATAAATATGACCCCACAGACTTCACTAAACAGATTACTAACAAGCTCAGAAGGTATTTGAAAGGTATTATCCACTGAAGTATTCACCTTAAATTTGAATCCAGCCACCCAGATGACCATAGAGTTTCCTGTGATGCCAAGTACAACAGTCAGTGCATAGAGAATGATACTGACATTGTCCATAATGGCACTGATGCCCACCATAGTTTCCTGGCCATCTTTAGAAGGCTTGACTGTGTTGGTGGGCAGAGAGTCATTGGGAAACATGGCGGGGCTGAGAAAGAGAGAACAGGAAAACTGACAAAATGTTACTCATCCATGTATTTCCTCAACTAACTGACAGAGAGGAAAAAAAGATAATATTACTTTACTTGACTTAATTCTTGGACTCTGCTAGAGTAGCTGTGCATGATTCACAGTTTTTAAAAAGTCCCTGTTCATGATGATAGTTGCCCACTTCCTTGGGTTCATCCTCAGTGTGGAATAAGTACATTTACCTTTTAGCTACCTTTCCTCTGATTGGCTGGTCCACACAAAAAGGTTTGGACAAGTGGGTGGGACTAAAGTACTTATATTCAGAGCTGCATGCATGAGGTGAACACATTTACATCCGGTCTCACTGATATCATACAAATACAAGAATGGAGAAGCTGTCTGAAATAGAGTCAGACAGCTTATCCTATTCTTACAACTTGATCTCTATTGTCAACATACAGAAAGTACTGTTTAACAATTTAAACAGTCGGAAGCTTGTTAAAACAATTTCATATTGTGTTTGACATTTGTCAGTTTTTAGTGTCTTCCTTTTTTAGAGTAAGCTGTTTGTTCACTTCCTGTAATTTTCTTATGCATCGTTTTCTTTGTGACTTTCTTGCCGCAGATAATTTATCCAATTCACAAGGTTTAAAAGAAAGGTACAATTGGATATCATCTGCATACAGATGATAGGAAATGATAATAAGGCCTAATGGAAGGACATATAATGAGACAGACCAGAATGACTGCAGATTTACATTTTTTATTTAAAAAAAAGGATATATGTGGACTCCTGTTGACTTTGGTATATATTCAACATTCAATAGAAATGGTTGAATAGCTTAGTTAACTTTAAATATGTATTAGCTAACTTCCATTATATGGAAAAAGGGGATTCAAAGAAAGCTTGTAGAATTTCCATCTTCACTTTTTTAGCACAGACAACTAAAAATGGCCTGTCTATTTCAGAAGCTTTTCATATCTGCAGTAATGCAGTGGGTTTACATCACTGCATCTGATGCTTTGCATTGCACGTGGTGATGTAGAATTTGGATGGCGCAGTTCGACCTTGGAAACACTTTCCACACTATCACAGTAGCAGGCAGGAATTCACTCCTTAGAGTGACACATTCTCTAACAATTGTTTGTAGATGCAGTCTGGAAGCCTTGGTGCTTGATTATATACACCTGTGGCCCTGAATGTCATTGGCACACCTTAATTCAACGATTTAGATGGTTGAGTGAATACTTTTTGCAATATAGTGTATATAAGATCCTGCATATCATCCTACTTTGGACTTCTGGCCTCTTCTTTAAGGTTAAATAAAGTCCAACTTTATTAACTATGTTTAAGAAATAAAACTGTTATATGGGGATTTTAAATATCACATCATAGGTTCCTTTAGAATATTTTGTTACTTTTGACCTCTGATTTCAATTTTACATTTCACATCTGCTTTTCATTCAAGCTAATCCCAAAATTCATCGTTTTTACTGCACTGCAAACTCCTTGATGTGCGTTTAAAAAGAAGAAAACGAAACACAGTATAATACTATTCCCCTCAAAGTACACACTGCCTTTGAGCTTGCTTCAGGAAAGGTATCTGAGTCAAAACTCAAAACATTGGATAAACTAACCCATGACCATGAAACCTTAATTCTATCATTAATGATGAAGAGTATATAAAGATAAAAGATCATAACTTCATGAGATTAGATAAAGATATATATTCATTATACATGGATTTATGATTTTGAGCACATTAAACCATCAAACAAAGCTACAGGAAACTGTCTCAAGATGTTAACAAAACGTGATATAAAACAAGGTATGTTCAGGAAAGTGTTATGCCAAGAACTGAAAATTATTAGTCTTACCAGTGGAAACAAAAACAGCAGCTCTTCAAAAGAAAAGATCCGAGATAATGAGCACAAAGGCGGTTTCTGCTGTTTAGAGATGTAAAGCTGCAGCAGTCAAAGGAGAAATAAATATGGCACTGCAGGGACTGCACAGTTTTCTTCAACCACACACAGGAAAGGGAAGAAGAAAACCACCACTGTATTGTGGTTCTATGTTCAGCCACTCAAATTAAAGCTTACATTCACATCTGTCCACCAAACATGACTCTGCAGATTACGTCTTTGACCCTTAGAAGAAAAAAGACATATGGCCTTGTGTTGTTTTTGGTATGTATTCAACATTCATTAGAATTTGTTGCATAGATTAGCTAAATTTAGATAACCAGTTACTCTTTTCCATTATATGGAGGAAAAGGGTTTCAAAGAAAGCTTGTGGAATTCCCCTCTTCTCTTTTCTAACACAGAAAGGTGCAACTAAAAATGGTCTGTCTATTTCAGAGGTTTGGTTATACTTGCACTAATGCAGTGCACGTTTGGGGAACTACTCTTTTGTTGCTAGAAATATTCCTCTGTGTGTGTTTGGTTGATGATTAATGGTTGATCAGCAGCTAAAGAAAGCAAATGACACCACTTACCCAATTCAGAGTTGTGGGAAGCTGCAGCCTGTCCCCACTGCGATAGGACGAGAGGCAGGGTACACCCTGGACAGGTGGCTGGTCTGTTGTGGAGCTAATTACAATCATTTGCACCAGTATTCATTGCTATAGGCAATTTAGAATCACCATGAGCTTTGGGAGAAAGACAGAATATACAGTCACAGGGACAATGTGGAAACTCCACACAGGAAAAACCTGAATTTGAACCTTGGACCTTCTTGCTGTGATTTAAGAATGACCAACAACCACACCGCTCTAGTGCAACTTAATGATTTGCTGTTTGAAAATTAACAAAAAGAAACTCTAATTCTTACAACTTGATCTATATTGTCAACATACAGAAAGTACTGTTTAACAATTTAAAATATCATATGATATTTGACCTCTGACCTCTCCTTTAAGGTCAGTAGAATGATTTGATGGCTAAAGTGATAATGATCCTATACGAAGCTATTTAAATCAGTTTCTTACTGCCATTGTTATATTAAACAAATGTGCATATAGGGAAAGATACACTATATCATTCATCTGCCTTCAAACAAATAAAATATTTTGACCAGAAGCATATTTTGTGAGGTCAGAACAGTGAGGTCAGGTCAGTGATCTGTTGGGTTGAGTCTGGACTCAGTTATGTCTTCCACACCAGACCTTGCTTAGTGCACAGTTGGAACAGGAAAAAGTCATCCCCAAACACTTCCCAGAAGTAGAATTATTTTTTCTAAGTGTGGTAGGACTTGACTTAAGCGGTCAAAGAAGTGCAGGAGACTGATGCTGTCCAGTGTAGCAAGTGATTTATTCACCATTTTGTGACCCAAACAATATTTACAAAGAAACAAATAAGAAACTCAACTCTATAATAACCTCAGTTCAAATAAACATAACTGAACTTAAATCAACGGAAATTAAGGTCAAACTGCACACAGCTACACTGACCTGAACCCCCCCCTTTTTTTTTTTTTTTTTTTTTTTCCTTGAAACACCTGAGTTATTCTGCCTAAATAGTCCACTTAACCAAACAATTTATCCTCTGGACTGTTCCATTCAGTAGGTAGGTAAGATGAACATGATTATATTCAAACCTCTACTACTCCTCTTTACTGGCAACATAAACTCTGTGGTGTAATCAATACATATTACAACAATGAATCTATTTCTTCATAAACCCTCTAAAATCAACTTTATTAAATTATAAGAGTTCTTCCCCTTCTGCACTTGGTCTCTTCCTGTGACCTCAGATGAACCCAGAAGCTATAAAGCAGGAAGTAAAACTAAATTTTCTCCTTTTGTTTCTGGAAGACAGGTAGGTAAGGTAAGTTCTAAACAATACAAATTAACAGTTGAAATAAATAACATGTTAACTTAACAAACTTGTAGGGATTGATTTAAACCAAGATGTTATATCATATAATCTGTAAAAGTGCAAAACATAAACAAACCCGGGATAGTAGATGTTTGCCTATTGCAGATTACATGTGAAATATGGTTAAATCAAAACAAGAATGTTAACTAAGAATATAGACAAATGGTCTTCTCACCCACTTTGTCACACTAAGCAATTAATTGATTACGGAGAGAAGAAATGAATTTACTGGTTAACCGCTCACTGACAAGTGCAGTTCATTAGGTTTTCTAGGTTTACAGTGTTTTAGGAGGGTTTGTGGTTACAGTGTTATGTTTAACTTATGTGGTTAGCACATCTCAGATCAGTTTCACTTGAATATCTTCTGATCTGCCTGCACTTCTCTGCCTGTGGGGGCATGTCAGTAATAAATAACAGAATAAAAGAATGTTAACAATTTGGGGCATTTCAGAAAATCTAAATACCTGAAATACAATGAAGTGGAAACACTGCTTTGAAACTTTTTCCTGTGATTTTTACTGTTTAAAAGTGAAGAAATCTCTGTGTGCAGGCTTATGTGGTCTCTGGATTCAGTCTCTCAGACAGTTCAGAGATGCTGTTAGGAGCTGTAAAATGCAAAACACACTGTTAGTCCTCTGATCCTGGACTGGATTTTATGTACAAAATAACCGAAAACAGTTGGTACTGTATGAATATAGTTTTTCTTCACAGACACCTCAGAGCAAAGAAAAGAACTGAGTCTTGTATTATCACTTCCTTCCTGTTTTAGTGAACTGCTAGCTTCAGTTTTCCAGTCTTTTTAAAAACATCAGCTCACCTCCTTTAGTGCTCTCACATTTCTTCTTTTTGTAAACAACAAATCCAACTGCAGCAACGAGCATGAGAGGAACAAGAACAACCACAACAGCAGTGATGGGGATCTTCGTGTCAGCACGCCTTTCTGCTCAGTAAAACATAATTAGATCATAATTTATATACAGTACATCCTTCCTCCTATGACACAGAGTATTTATGCAATACTGTAATCTCTATGGTGCTACATATATGTGAGTATGTGTGTCTGTAAAAGTATATGTATATAATATATATGTGCAAGTATATAGTATTTACTGCATACTTCAAAGCAGGTCTGAAAAATGCTAATAATAGTTGTATAATTATAATATATAACAGTAATGTGAAATTGGAAAAAGAGTTAAATTCTCCCATCATCTGCCCAGGGATTTGTAAAAGGCACTTTTTGCTAAATAAATGTAAATTTCAGGTTCGTTATCCACATATTTGGTGCTGCCTCTTTTGATCTATGAAGCCAGTGAAATGGCATAAATCTGAGTGTATAATAGCTAAGGGAGGGTGGCAGTTTTTTTTTTTCTTTGTATCTTATTAGGCTATCCCTGACTAACTTTTCCTCCAGTCAATAAACGGTAATAATATTTTTTACTATTCTGAGAGCACAAAAACATCAGAGCACTGTGTTTCTCACTTTCATCATTGCTAATTTTATTTTACCCCAATTGGTCCTGATCGTTGATTTATTCAACTTGGTGACGATGTTGTCCTCGACACCAGAGAACTGAAACACACAGCTGTAGCTCGTCCAGTCTTCACCTGGCACTGATGAAACATTCATGTTAACACTCAACTGGAAGGTCCCGTCATGGTTGTGGAGAATCTCTCCTTTCTCCACATGGTCTTGGATCTCCACTCCATCCTTCCTCCAGAACATCATGGCTGTATTAGGATAGAAACCTGTAGCGTGGCAGGTGACTAGAGCGAAGGGAGTCTTCTGGAGGAGAGACACTGTGGGAACCACTGCAGAGAAAGATGTGTTTAAAAAAGACTTAATACATCTTTGTAAATGGATAATGCTCCACAATTTGATTTGAAGTTTGTGAATCTTATAACTCAAGGAGGAAGCCACTAAGGATTTTGAAATTCATACCATAGTTGCACTTCCTAAAAATAATTTTTTGAAGGAAAAAAGAGAAATCATGTTAAATCGTGATATCTATCAGTTTGGAAAGCTTTAAAAAGCCTCTTTTGTCCCTTGCTCCCTGGGTCCTAGACATGTCTTTGTGTTTTGCCTCCCGTTTCTGTTTCCATGTTCCCCCGGGTCCCAGTGTTAATCCGTGCATCTAGTCTGCATCTTAGTTTGTTTCCCATTTTATTTTGACAGTCTCGTGTCCCATATTCATTTTGTTCAGTTTTGCTTCCTCCTGTGTCATGTCTATTCATCCCGGTGTGTTTCCACTTCCCTCGTCACCCTCTTCATCTATGTGTATAGATTGTGTGAGTTTCCCTGTGTTCATCGTCAGATCATCTGCAATCCTTCCCTGTGTCTCCATGCTCCCTTGTACTCCAGGTTTCTGATTGTTTAACTTTCCCAGTTTACGTTTTCATGTTTTTTAGCACCCAAAATAAAGGGTGAACATTTTGTTAAAAGGTCTAGTTACTCTTTTAGTGTCTGCATTTGGGTCCTTATAAGCCACACGGTCTGCAGCCTCAGACCGTGACAGGTGGTTATGAAAGAAAAGAACCCAGAACAACATCTAAAGAACTGCAGGCCTCTCTTGCTTCAGTTAATGTCAGTTTTCATGATTTAACAATAACAAACAAAAAATGGCATCCACTCAAAAGTCCCAAGGCAAAAGCCACTCGTTAAAATCAGCCTAAATGTTTTGCCATTTTCTCTTTAAAAAACAACTGTATTGTAATGAAGATAATCCAACATAAAATGAACATTACTACATCCATTTGAAGATGATGTGATTCTACCTGTTCTCTGCAGGGAGAAGTCCCCACTGTCCACATACATCTTCAGCTACGTTGGACACATCTGAGTGAGGAAGTTTTCATTGTGTTTGAGTACAGACCTGTCAGCGTCCCAGGTCTGTTTGGTAATGAGAGCTTCTGGGTTCAATGCAATCCATGTCAGTGTCTTCACATCAAAATCCTCTCCATTCCATCCATACTTTATCACACCTGTCACCTCACCAGTGTTTTCATCCCATCCACAGCCACTTATTATCTGTAAAATCTGGACACCTGAAGAAAGACAGAGAAACAAAAATTGCACTGAACTATCTGAATATTCTACATTATGTGGCACATGAAAAAGGAAACTGGGTCAACCCAGGACTGATCTGACAGACATCCTGCATATAAACTCTAAGACGAAGAATGTAAAGTTAATAGTATTCAAGACATTCTTTTAATACACATATAAATTCAGCAAATCTATTATTTTGTCATGTTTTTAAATCATATTGACGTTGTAAGGTTTGATGACTTAAGACTTTAAATATTTAACAATTTAATGATTAACAAAATAATTTTACATACATCAACTTTATTGAGGTACATTTATAATGATTTATAATGATGCAATATAATATAATGCAATATAATGATGCAATACCAAATTCTATGTGCAATAACCCAACTGTATATACATAACACTATTTATTACATATTACTTTTTTTTTTAAAACCAGCTTGTATATTTGTACATTTTATATATATATTTTTTCCCTCTGTTAATACTGTCCATGTGTATATAGTGCTGCAGAACTGTGCCCCCACCCCCATTCTATTCTATTCTATTTAATCTAAAGAATAACATTTAATACTGCACCTCCACTTTGGTTGAACTGCTGCTTCAAACTACACTGAACAAAAATATAAACGCAACACTTTTGTTTTTGCTCCCATTCCCCATGGGATGGACGTAGAGACCTAAAATTCATTCCAGATACACAATATAACCATCCCTCCCAAACAGTGGTCACAAATCAGTCCAAATGTGTGGTAGTGGGCACATCTGCTATATTGAGATAATCCATCTCACCTCACAGGTGTGCCACATCAGGATGCTGATCTGACATCATGAGTAGTGCACAGGTGTACCTCAGACTGCCCACAACAAAAGGCCACCCTGGAATGTGCAGTTTTGTCTCACAGCAAAATGCCACAGATGCCACAAGCAATGAGGGAGCGTGCAATTGGCATGCTGACAGCAGGAATGTCAACCAGATCTGTCGCCCGTGCATTGAATGTTCATTTCTCAACCATAAGCCGTCTCCACAGGCGTTTCAGAGAATATGGCAGCACATCCAACCGGCCTCACAACCGCAGACCTCGTGTAACCACACCAGCCCAGGACCTCCACATCCAGCAGGTTCACCTCCAAGATCGTCTGAGACCAGCCACCCAGACAGCTGCTGGAACAATTGGTTTGCACAACCAAACAATTTCTGCACAAACTGTCAGAAACCGTCTCAGGGACGCTCAACTGCATGCCCGTTGTCCTCATCGGGGTCTTGACCTGACTCCAGCTCGTCGCCGTAACAGACTTGTGTGGGCAAATGCTCACATTCGATGGCGTCTGGCACGTTGGAGAGGTGTGCACTTCACGGATGAATCATGGTTCACATTGTTCAGGGCAGATGGCAGCTGAGAATGTCCCAGTTCTTGCATGGCCAGCATACTCACTGGACATGTCACCCATTGAGCATGTTCGGGATGTGCTTGACCAGCGTATACGACAGCGTGTACCAGTTCCCACGAATATCCAACAACCTCGCACAGCCATTGAAGTGGAGTGGACCAACATTCCACTGGCCACAATTGACAATCTGATAGACTCCATGCGACGATGTGTTGCACTGCATGAGGCAAATGGTGGTCACACCAGATACTGACCAGTTCTGGGTCCCCAGACCCCCAATAGCGCAAAAAACTGCACATTCCAGGGTGGCCTTTTGTTGTGGGCAGTCTGAGGTACACCTGTGCACTACTCATGATGTCAGATCAGCATCCTGATGTGGCACACCTGTGAGGTGGGATGGATTATCTCAATATAGCAGATGTGCCCACTACCACACATTTGGACTGATTTGTGACCACTGTTTGGGAGGGATGGTTATATTGTGTATCTGGAATGAATTTTAGGTCTCTACGTCCATCCCATGGGGAATGGGAGCAAAAACAAAAGTGTTGCGTTTATATTTTTGTTCAGTGTAAATATTGTACTTTGGTAGAATTAAAAAATAAGTGTAGTGCAGGTCTATGATGATTTTTAGTGCTACTATCATCTTGTTCTGATTCTGGTTCTGTCTTGGTTAAGTCCTAAGTAGTCCTGATTTTGAACTGTTGTAGTCCTGTTTTAATTCCAGATCAGTTCTGGGTCTGGTTGAATTGGGGTTTAGTCCTCGTGTCTTGATCCAGCCCCGACTTTGTTCTGCCTTGCTGCTTAATTAAAAAACTAGTTTAAGGTGTCCTGCATATGTGATATATATTTTTCCCTATATGAAGTCATTCTTTTTTGAACAAAACTCAAAACAGAGCCAATTAATCTTTCAGTCATTTCTAAACCCCCCCGCCCCCGCCCAAAAAGAAAAAAAAAATCCCACATGCATACTACCCTTTAGGGCTAAGCCCCGGGTGTTTCAAATGTCTGGCTCCGCCTCTGGTGAGGAGCACCACTGGCGCGGACGTCGCTTCTTCCTAGAAGATGGAGCACGCGATGCGGAGGACACTGACGGTGACAGTGAGGTGGTGGCAAACTCCTTATCATATTTTTGGCCCCTCCTCTTTTTACTCACAGATTCTGTCTGTGCCAGAAATACCCCACCCCCACCATCCACACACACGGGTCATATATTGTGGTGCATTTTCTAATGAAGTTTCTGCACCTGACAGCAAGACTGTATTTCAGACTATAATCAACAGATTTTCCAAAGCTTCACATTTCATAGTCTTATCTAAAATTCCAGCCACAAGACAACTTATCTCTTAATATATCATGTTTTTGTTCTGCATGGCTTTCTTACTGACATTGTTTATGGCAGTGGCCCTCAGTTTATCTCACAAGTTTAGAAGGCTTTCTGTGGGGCCTTAGGGATTGGTGTCACTTTATCTTTATTTCCATGCCCAAAGTAATGGCCAGTAGTGATGTGTCGGGCGCGAATGAAACGGCTCTCAGAGCCAGATCTTTGAAGTGAACAACGCGAGCTGGCTCCTTATTGGTAGCCATTTTTTTTCCCTTCTCTCTAACCCTCTCTCTCGCACATTTTTTGCTTCACTTCGCACATGAGCCTTGTGCTTGTGCTGAGCAGAGGGGGGAGGGGCGGTAGTTACACTCGCAGTAGTAGCACAGGAACAGAACGGGAGGGAAAGAGAGAGAAAGAGAGCCAAGGACAGCAACTAGAGACAACATCATCACATTAGAAAGGTATAATAATCATCCACAATTATTTTCAGTTGCGGATGATAAAGGATTCAGAAAGTTTATTCATGCAGTGAATCCTATGTATGCAATTCCAAGCAGAAAAACACTCTCCCAAAAATCATCCCAGGCGTATATGATAGTGTTTTCATATGTGTTTTGGAGTTTGTACATGTTTTGGAGTTTGTACGTGCTTTGTCTCTAGGGGCCACCATAAATATACTTTTATTTATTCACTCCACATAAAATATAATAAGTAAATTATAAAATACAAAAAACAACTATTTATATTTCAACTTTTAACTATTAAAATTTTCATCTTTTTCCTTTTAAACAAATTTAAAGTGAAACAACACAAAACACTGCAAACCACAACACAATAAAATATAAATTAAAATATGCAAAACAAAAAGAAGATACACATTCTCTGTCATATAGGCCATCTGTCATATTGTACAGTGTAGCGAGGAATGCCTAGACCTCTACATTGGAGAGACCAAACAGCCATTTCATAAACGCATGGCACAACATAGAAGAGCCACCTCCATGGGACAAGACCCGGCTGTCTAAAGGACAAAGGTCACTCTTTCAAGGACACCAATGTTCACATTTTGAACAGAAAAGACAGATGGTTTGAAAGAGGAGTGAAAGAAGCCATTTACGTTCACTGTGAGCGACCGTCTTTGAACAGAGGCGGTGGTTTACGACACCAGCTGTCTGCCATCTATAATCCAGTGTCCCAGATGCCTTAATGCCCACTCACACCCTGGGCCATTTGACCTCAGGAAATCACATGATAGGGTGGGGCTTGGTTTCACAATGAGCTCACCCGAAACCTTGGCTAATTGTGATCTACACCCAGTTTCACACCTTGGCTCGTGTGATTAGGTAGAGGATCATTAGGGGGTCCATTGGGCCTAAATCTGGGACTCTCCACCATTTGACCCTAAAACTGAAGAAGCTTCTCGGATAAGAATAAGTCTTTTAGTTTGTTTGTATTGCTAGTATTACAGGTTAGTTGACAATAACTGGTTTAACTTTTTAGTTTTTTACTTTTTCATATTCTATTTCTTGTCTTATATGAAGACAACAAAGAGTTAATTCAAACCAAAAGTACTTTGTGGTTAAGCAGGTTTTTGTTGTTTTATAGAAAGGTAACACAAGTTGAAATTAAGCCAAGAGGAAGCACACCAGCCCATTTATATTAATGTACGGTTAGAAACAGCATGAGATACACATACAAAGAAAACAGACTCTTTAGTTTGTATGTTCACTAGTACGTTATGTGATATTCAAGATCATCAAGTAACAGAGCTCTAAATGAATTCATATTTGAGCTCACAGAACTGTGTTGTTACTGGTTATGTCTTGCTCACCAATAAGGAATTGTTCCCACGTGATCATACCTGCTCTTCCAAAGAACAAGCCCACACTTCATTATACTAGGAAACAGCTTTGCAAAGAAGACATTGTTCTAGTGGTTATAAAGAAATGACAAGATGAAGTTATTTTTGTTGCTTTTTTTCTGTCACCTTGCATCTCCAGGTAAGATAACAGATATTTAAACAACTGCTATAACATTTCTTAGTTTTACTTTGTAGACAACCTGTGATACAGAGAAAAGGTCCAATCATATATGATATATTCGATTATATTATTAATTAATTGTTCTTTAAGATGTGTACAGATACAGTTTGTTGTTACTAAAGTTTAAAGAAGGAGTTCTTTAAGTTTTCTTGCATGTCAGCTCTAATTCCAATACCAGTGTTAGGTGTGTCTCTACATTGCTACTTAACAAAACAAAACAAAAGCAATAGTATTTCTGTTTTATACTTTTATAAGCAAACATTTGATCCTCTGTGAACTGCCACCAGTCAATAAATATTTAATATTTAAACAAACGGCACATAAAGCTGATATTTTAGTACTTAAACTAATACTTAAAAAACAGATGAATTGCTGGAAACACAGGTAAAAACTTAAAAAACAAGCAAAAGGGAACAACAGCTCAACAACCAAATAGAACAAACCATAAGGAAGAAAGCAATGAAAAATCAGAGTAAAAAGTCATGTAAAGTAAACTGCCCTTACCAAACATTAATGAACAGATACATTTAGAACATTAACCCATGAAAAAAGTGTTTGACTTGTTGGAGGTGGGGAATAAATGGCATGTGAGCTATGGATAAATTGGCTTTTAATCTGAATGCCATTCAGATTACTCAAAAAACCTAGCTATACACACTTCCTATTGGCCAAGCTCACTGAGGTGAATCACACACAAATACCACAGCAAGCTCACCACAGAGGGTGAGATTCACTGCTTCACTCCTTCTCAAATGCAATAAAGCAAGAATGCAATTCATCTGAGGTCTTATTTTTAAATGTATTAATTATCTTTTGTACTACCGGAGAATGTGAAAACGAATAAAATTCAATGATTTAAAAAATGTAACTCAACTGTCTGCTACTTTTAACAGTGAAACATAACCTGAAGTATTTGTTCACTGCTTCTTCGGGAGTCCATACCCTTCCAACATTAGTGGCAGTGGCGACGGTGGATGAAGTTGAGATTATGTACTGTGATAGTAACACTAAAGTTGTAAATCCCAAACAGATTTGGATGGAAAAATTATTTGAAGATGAGCCTAATCATTTAGAATGGTACAATCAAGCATGTGCAAGTTATGGACAGATCTTCAGAGAGCAAATTGTCAATGTAATGCTGGACCTAAACCAACATGAAGGTATGTAAATAATAAAATGTTTGTTTTCCTCACAGAATATGAAAATGCCCCCAAACTTTCAAGATACCCCTACCTGAGGTAGAACAAAATACAATATTTAACACTGTTTAAGGTCTAATATATGAGCTATCCCTGCCCCATATATCTTGTAATATGGGGCAGGAATAGCTCAGTAGGGGCAGGGATAGCTCAGTAGGTAAAGCGGTTGCCCCATGATCGGAAGGTCAGGGGTTCGAATCCCCTGAACGGCTACCCTGAGGTACCCTTGAGAAAGGTACCATCCCCACACGCTGCTCCCCGGGCGCTGCACCGGTGGCTGCCCACTGCTTCACTGAGTGAATGGGTTAAATGCAGAGAAGAATTTCCCCACGGGGATCAATGAAAGTGTACATTATTATTATAATTTTAAGCTATAATATATTAAATGGATTCATGTATAAAAATATTTTGTGGATCATCTGCCTCCATCTCACCCTGTCCCCAGCATCCTCCTGTGTCTCCTTTGTTATCCTCCTATATCCACCAATCCTCCACATGTCCTCCTTCACTACTTCAGTACATTAATCTTCTCTGTGGTCTTCTTTCCTCCTGTCTGGCAGCTTCATATTTAACATGTTTAGTCCAATATATCCATTATCCTTCCTCTTCATATGTTCTAACCATCTCAGCCTTATCTGTAATCTTCAAACCAGCAAGTCTCACAACCATCTTGTAAACCTTGACTTTCGCTCTTGCTGCACCTTCTGTCGCAAATTACCCACATTCGTCTTCACTCATTCAGCCCTGCACTCTTTTTTCAATTCCTTTCTGCACTTTTAGAATTGCTATCTTTTATTGTCATTATCCTAAAAGCACAGCAAAATTATATGCTCTGCTAATCAATGCAAAGAAACCAAAGAAAGCAGTCTAATTACACCCAAAATATAAAATAAAAATAAGACTTGAATAGATACAGTATAAACGGTTTAAAAATACACATAAATATTTGGATATTCCACAGGTTATTGAAGGGGAAGTGGGGCCCTACCTTGACTCTCTGCACACAGTCTCTTTAATCCAGAGTGGATGAAGTGTGGGAGCTGAAGTCAATTAGTTTTGTTAGGGATAATTGTGTAGGGCAGAAGTTGGTGAAGAGAAGCTTGGCATAACTTGCGTTTGTGTTCCATATGGGTCAGGGCGGTGTGGAGAGCAGTGGCCATGGAATCCTCTGTTGATATGGTATCCCTGTATGCAAACTAGTGGGGGGTCAAATGTGGGTGGAAGTCCTTGAATATTGTGACTTCTGAGCAGTTTCTCAAAACTAAAATAAAGCTAAAGTAACACATACAGGTTTTACTCAACTAAAGTATTATTTTACATAGCTAATGTAAAAGTTAAATACTGTAAAATGCACTGTTAAATACACATATTGTGCACTCAAGGATTCAGCACAGCCAAACTGCTCGAACAAACTATTTTTTTTTGCATTTCATGGACAATCTCAATAAAAACTATCAATAAGTATATGAATACAATCATATAGTATTCTCACTTTTTAAATTTGCCCATTTTGTTTCTCTATATGTAGATATGTATTTACTCCATACTTGAAGATATGAACATTTTGGTCATTTAGACATGTCGGCCCATGTCACTCCTACTTGTTGTAAGTAAGCTATTAAGACTCGACTGCAGGGCCGTGCAGAAATGTTTAAAGGGGCGGGTGCTCAAAGATAAAAAGGGGCACATTGAACCAGGCTGAATAACAACAACACACATTCATCAAGAATCTAATATGGGATCACATCACACTATATCACTGTTGTGAGGTGGCGACAAGGCAAAGCAAATGTAGCCTATGTTTTACCTGAACGGGGTACAATGTTGGTGTTGAGGGGTTTCTGCTGCTCCTGCTGCTGGTAGTGCTGGAGGGCCAGGCTGTGTTGATCTGAGACTGTAGACTTTAAAAAGTCCACAGGAGAGATAGTAGCTGATTAAACAAGTGTTATGAGATAATAACAAAATGCACAGACTGGTGACAGCGCTTAGAACCTTAAGGCAACAAAAAACTGTGAGAAATAAACCAGACTCTGCCCGTGAATCACTCTTTGCCTCTCTTCCTCCTTCATCTCCATGCATGCACATACAGTGACATTTTAGACCTTTTTCAAAATACTGTATATACTATGGCGACAAGTTTCCATCATGGTGCTGATCCAGAATCCTTCCCTTATTATTTATTACTAGAGCTACAATAATAAAGCATATGAAATAATGTATTTATGATGACCCCATTTGTTTGACTATCCACTCTGTGCAGGGAGAAAGCTTATTACATTTTAAACTTTAGAGATACAATAATTTTACTGCTGTAAAATAAGCATTTTGTCATATTTAAAATACAAATCTAATATAATCTGTTTCTTAATGTATGTTCTTTAAAATACAGTGTGTTTTTTTTTAAATGTCATAATTATAATAATCCATAATTATGTGGACATGCATATTACATCGTTTTTAGTTAAATACACTGAACAAAAATATAAACGCAACACTTTTGTTTTTGCTCCCATTCCCCATGGGATGGACGTAGAGACCTAAAATTCATTCCAGATACACAATATAACCATCCCTCCCAAACAGTGGTCACAAATCAGTCCAAATGTGTGGTAGTGGGCACATCTGCTATATTGAGATAATCCATCCCACCTCACAGGTGTGCCACATCAGGATGCTGATCTGACATCATGAGTAGTGCACAGGTGTACCTCAGACTGCCCACAACAAAAGGCCACCCTGGAATGTGCAGTTTTTTGCGCTATTGGGGGTCTGGGGACCCAGAACCGGTCAGTATCTGGTGTGACCACCATTTGCCTCATGCAGTGCAACACATCGTCGCATGGAGTCTATCAGATTGTCAATTGTGGCCTGTGGAATGTTGGTCCACTCCACTTCAATGGCTGTGCGAGGTTGTTGGATATTCGTGGGAACTGGTACACGCTGTCGTATACGCCGGTCAAGCACATCCCGAACATGCTCAATGGGTGACATGTCCGGTGAGTATGCTGGCCATGCAAGAACTGGGACATTCTCAGCTGCCATCTGCCCTGAACAATGTGAACCATGATTCATCCGTGAAGTGCACACCTCTCCAACGTGCCAGACGCCATCGAATGTGAGCATTTGCCCACACAAGTCTGTTATGGCGACGAGCTGGAGTCAGGTCAAGACCCCGATGAGGACAACGGGCATGCAGTTGAGCGTCCCTGAGACGGTTTCTGACAGTTTGTGCAGAAATTGTTTGGTTGTGCAAACCAATTGTTCCAGCAGCTGTCTGGGTGGCTGGTCTCAGACGATCTTGGAGGTGAACCTGCTGGATGTGGAGGTCCTGGGCTGGTGTGGTTACACGAGGTCTGCGGTTGTGAGGCCGGTTGGATGTGCTGCCATATTCTCTGAAACGCCTGTGGAGACGGCTTATGGTTGAGAAGTGAACATTCAATGCACGGGCGACAGATCTGGTTGACATTCCTGCTGTCAGCATGCCAATTGCACGCTCCCTCATTGCTTGTGGCATCTGTGGCATTTTGCTGTGAGACAAAACTGCACATTCCAGGGTGGCCTTTTGTTGTGGGCAGTCTGAGGTACACCTGTGCACTACTCATGATGTCAGATCAGCATCCTGATGTGGCACACCTGTGAGGTGGGATGGATTATCTCAATATGGCAGATGTGCCCACTACCACACATTTGGACTGATTTGTGACCACTGTTTGGGAGGGATGGTTATATTGTGTATCTGGAATGAATTTTAGGTCTCTACGTCCATCCCATGGGGAATGGGAGCAAAAACAAAAGTGTTGCGTTTATATTTTTGTTCAGTGTATAAGCCCTCCAGAAAGGCAGGAAAAGCCCTGTAACTTACTTTAAAACTAAATATGTTCCCTAAAAAGGTGGACAGAGCTACAGACCCATGACACCATTACCCAGTCAGCTAGCAGCTATGACCAGCACTACTTGTGCAGTTAATAAAAGGACAGGTAATGTTTGTCTTGCTGTTACACACACAGCACGCTCATTTGTTCATCAGTTGCCACAAGACAACTTACCAACGTGTACATAATAAGCTAATACTCCTGTGTGCTATAGACTACAGTATACGCTGTACACCTACTTACTGGTTTTGTCGCATCAGTAAGGGTTAGCTCCAGACCACCAAGGCAGCAAAAAATGCATGTGCTCTTTGTGAGCTTGTTCCCGGCCCTTAACCAGCACGCTCTGCCATCAAGGGCGATCATTGGTTAATGGTCATCATGTGACTGATGCAAGCCTGCTCCTTTTATTTAGCAAAACTGTGATTAATAGTTAAATATTATTGTTGAGGGGCACCAATGACTGTTTTCTACAGTCATTGAGGGGCACAGACAGAACTCGCACGCACACACACATAAATTTTTATTATTTTTTTTAAATAAAAAAAAAATTGCCCCAACAAAAGAGCACTTTGGGCACCCATCAGAAAAGGGGCGAGTGCTCAAGCCCCCCCCCCCCCATCCCCTTTGCACGTGCCTGTTCGACTGTACACTGTGTTCATGTTTTCCTCCAAAACGATAAGCTCCTTTGGAGCAAAGTAAAACTAGTTTTCGGCTACGAGCCCGACACGGAACCCAACATATTAGCCAGAGGTCTACGGCGTTATTTTTGTGCCTCTATTCTGAGCGCACGTAAAAAAAAGAATTTGAGCAGATAATTTGTGCCACAAAACAGACTGAAAAAATTCTGAATGGCTGTTTTGGTCTCCAATCACCTCACTAGCTGCTGCATTCTGGGAACACTGTCCATATAATAACACAATAATAACAAACAGGTGATGTTAGAACGCTTTTATTTTTATTTTAGTAGACACTCAAAACTAACAATAGACAGCTGGGGTTTGGAAGAGAATTGAACAAATATTTAACATATAATGTGATAATTTTTGGAGCAGCCTTCAGGATCTTAACGTATTAACATGCTGTTTTTGCTCCCGATGAAATGTTTCCTCCTGAATTTAAATATTTTTTTTTATGTTAGATTTAATTCAGTTGTTTAAGTAAGAACAAAACATTTTACATCAGGGGATATGACAGGTGAAATTGAAAATATACTGATAGCTATACAAGTAAGACTTCAGTATTAAATAATCCGTTCTCACTCCCGAGGGGTAACAAGCGATTTGAGGAAAATGAATGAACATGTGTGGACGGATTCCAAACGATTCTCATGTCTCCTCATTTCCCGATCTCGTCATTTAAGAACGTGTTGGGTGACCGGAAGTGTAACATGTTGACAATTTGTCACCTAGTGTAAAATATTGCGCCTTGGGAGTGACAATGTGTTTTCAAATAAAACAGTCCAAAACGGTTTGAAAATGCTGTGCTGGGAGTCCGCGCCTTCACCAGCCAGTCAGCTAGTGGGTAACAGGCCTCTCCGAAAACGTTAGAGCACTTTTGCAAATATGTGATGTCTTGATAAATCGAGCAGATATTACACAGCAACATTCTCGCCTGAAACTATCTTAAAAGTTTATTTTGTGATCCAGAAAGAGTATTTCAAACTCCGCCATTTCAAACTCCACCACTCTGTGTTGCTCCGCCACTGCCTCGTTTGAGTTTAGGATGGAATGCATTCTGGGATATTTGCCTGGGTTTAGCTACAGTAGCTAGCGAGCTTATTGGAGACCAAAACAGCCAATCAGAATTTTTTGCGTGGTTAAAATGTGGTTAAATATTGGTTAGTTGAATGAATGAATGAATGTGTCCTCCATGTAATTAATTATAATATGGAGTGGCAGGCTTTTAGGACATTACATCAGGTATTACAATCCAAAACGAAGACCAGGACTCACTCACAAGTGTGTAAACATCCCAAATCTCAATAAACAAATTCACGAAAGCCTTCCCAGGCAGGCTGCAAAAATATTTCTAAGATAATTAATAAAGAATAAAACTAAAAATATTTCCTGTATGTTTTTATTTTATTCTAGTTTGGTTACAAAATAGTACACAATATCATTTCAGTTTGTTCCCTCTTTTTATTTCCGTAGTTTACTTTTAGTTGACATGTTTTTTTTTTCACTTCTAGTTTGAATTCTGAGTTTAGTTTTAGTTACACACCAAATTTTTGCACATATTATTGCATTTTCCTGTCTCAAAAGTGCAAACATTCACACAGTCCAATATCTTTTAAACATAAACTGTCTGTCTCCTTCTTAGGTGACCACATTCTTCAAAGATTGAGTGGATGTGAATGGGATAATGATACTGGAGAAGTTAATGGTTTTAGATGGTATGGGTATGATGGAGAAGACTTCCTCAAATTTGACATGAAGACAGACACATGGATCCCTGCAAAACCGCAAGCTGAGTTAACCAAACGCAAGTGGGATAACAATACAGATTACAATAGATATTGGAAAAACTTCCACACAAATATTTGTCCTCAGTGGTTGAAGAAGTATGTGTCTTATGGAAGAAACTCTCTTTTGAGAACAGGTAGAATCATATTATTTACAGTAGTTTCATCAGGGGCAAAACAAAAATAATCCATTCTGTATTTCTATTGAGTAGTTATGTTATAGATTATACAAACCAACATAATATGGCCTAATAGATTTTACAGAATATTATCAAAAGATTTGTCTCTATGCATATGTTTGTTTGCTTTTTATTACCCCAAATTTATTACATTTCTTTTATTATAACCTGTTCTATTTAACCCGTGTCACAATTATTCAGAAAAAAGGAACTGTTATCAGTTGGGAATGTTTTTTCTTCTTCTAGTGCCTCACCTCTTGCTTCTGTTGTATCTAGAACTTCCATCAGTGTCTCTCCTCCAGAAGACTCCCGCCTCTCTAGTCAGCTGCCACGCTACAGGTTTCCATCCTAACAGAGCTGAGATGTTCTGGAGGAAAGATGGAGAGGAGATTCATGATGGTGTGAAAAAAGGAGAGATCCTTCCCAACAATGATGGAACCTTCCAGATGAGTGTTAACATGAAACTTTCATCAAATGCATCTGAAGACTGGAAGAGGTATGATTGTGTGTTTCAGCTCTCTGGTGTGGATGACATTATTACCAAATTAAACAAAGGAATGATCAGGACTAACTTGGGTAAGTTACTTGGTAGAGGAAAATTTTTATATTAAACCTCTTCATTTTGTAAAATCCAAATTATTGACACAGCATCTAAATCTGGTTTGGTCCCAGTTTCTCCCACAGAGTTTGTGCAAGTGACAGCACCTGCTGTTGTCATTGTTGTCGGCCTGCTTCTGCTGGGGCTCTGCATTGCTGGATTTTTTATCTGGAGAAGGAGCAATAATGGTAAACAGAACAAATGTATTCATAACATATGTTGTGTTGTTTACATTCAAAGCAGGAAAAAATGAAATACATTATCATCATTATCATAATTTCTTAGCTGTAAACTGTTGTTTTTGTATTACAGAATTCCAACATGCAAGAAGTAAGTTTCCCCTATTCAAATGTCAAGTTGTCTAATTGGATTAAGTATTCATTGTTTTAGATTTATTAGTTATTTGCAATTAATCGTGTCTTTTTATGTTTCTCTTTTTTTTCCTTTTTTTTTTAATTAAACAATATTACTTTCTCTTCTGCTTTTAGCCTCAGACTTGTAAGAACAAAATTCAGTTCTTAAGTGATACAGTGAGTATTTTATTAGTTCTTTATAAGGTCTAAAATAGGTCGACAGACCAATTTTCCAAAAAAATACATATTGAAAAGTATTTCATATATGAAGCTAAAATTTCACAGAAATCAGTGTAAATGTTCACATTTTCTACATAAGGTGTTTATGCAAATTAAAGACAGTATTCTAACAAGCATCAAAGAAACTATTTGGCTTCTCATGTTTATTGATTTGTCTCAACAGGTTATAAGTGTAGACTGGAAGAGGAACAATATGATGAGATTAAAACAATTTTTTTAATTTTTAAAAAAAAAAAAATTATTTGCAGCTTTGACGCTGATGAGGGTAAACTGAAGAGAATGGATGGATAGATGAAATCTCTACAGTAAACCTGAGTCTTAAACTGCTCACTCCCCAGAAGTGTGGCAAACTCTAACTGAACAACTTTGGCTTGTAAAGTGCTGAATGACTTGTTTTTGTGGGTGTGGGTGTGTATGAAACAAACTATAAAGGGACTTAAATTTCTTGAGCTATTTTGATCTGTTTGCTATCACTGACCAAGCATGCACTGATGTATATATGTAAGTTGGATTATGTTCCATTTATGTAAGGTGAATTAAACTCAAAACAAGTGTGATAACATTAGTGTTATCTAACCCCTTACTCACTTCAAATGGTTTAGAACAGCCAAAAGTACAGACCAGTTGCTAGGTTCGGCAGGAATACAATAGGAACTGAGGTGAATGCGAAATGAAATGGCTGGAGACAGGAAATGAGCAACAATAAATGAAAATAAAATGAGACAAATTCCACAATAACAACAACAACAACAACAACAACAACAACAACAACAATAATAATAATAATAATAATAATAATAATAATAATAATAATAATAATAATAATAATAAGCTGGCATAGCAAAAATAACCCAAAAAAACAGTCCTATTGAGCTCAATATTTCAGTTTGTCCTTTTTGGTCATTAGTCAGGTCAGGATTCCTTATTAGTCTAGTTCCTTTTTTGTTTTGTTTTTGTGGTTTGAGTTTTACCACTTTGATGCCTCTCTTGAATGTGGGAGAAGAATGAGTTCTTCAGCAACAGTTCAGTTCAGTCTGGGCACAGGCTCGGCATCTCCATCCAGAGAGAATCCAGCTGAATCCATCCAGAATCCAGAATTTCAATTGCCTTATCGACACCAACAAAAAAAAACCTAGCATTCACAACAATAATGATATTATTGCATACAGCCAGATAAAGTTGTCCATTGTCTTATTTCTTCTTAAGGTTATAGCTTAATACTTTATCTTCAATTCTCATATTACCACAGTAATATATTACATGCATGTTTTTAACTTAAAACATCCTTGGTTGTACATTAAATTATTTTTGACTACCACATGGATGTCTGCCTCCCATTTATCAGCAAGTTTATGCTTGCCACGCAGCAGCAAATTTCTAACTAAAACCCTGTCCCCAGGTTCAAGTTCAGAAACAGTTATTTTGTGGTCAAAATGTCCCACTGCTCCCGGTGGGACATACCTAGAACACCTCAACCAGAGGCGCCCAGGAGGCATCCTTATCAGATGTCCAAACCACCTCAACTAGCTCCTTTTGATGTGGAAGAGCAGCAACTCTACTCTGAGCCCCTCCTGGATGGCTGAACTACTCACCCTATCTCTAAGGGAGAGGCCAGCTAGCCTTTGGAGGAAGCTCATTTCCACCACTTGTATCCGCGATCTCATTCTTTCGCTCACTACCCACAGCTCTTGACAATAGGTGAGGGTAGGGGCATACATCGACCGGTAAATTGAGAGCTTCGCTTTTACAGTCAGCTGTCTCTTCACCATGACCAGTACAGCGTCTGCATCACTGCAGCCGAAGCACCAATCTGTCTGTCAATCTCCCGCTGCCTTCTCCCATCACTTTTCTACAAGACCCCAAGATACTTAAACTCCTCTACTTGGGGCAGGAACTCGTCCCAAACCCGGAGTGGGCACTCCACACTTTTTTTGGAGTTTTGGAGGTTGCTGATTCTTATTTCTATCTTTTCACACTCGGCTGCGAAACATTCCAGTCCAAGCTGAAGGTCGTCACTGGATGAAACCAGCTTCCCCAGGAGGAAAGTTGATAGGTTTGTAGCTTGAACCTATTCGCTGGAACGTTGAAGACAATATAATTACACATCAAGCAAGACACGAAGTAGGCAAAGTTCTTCATGTTTCTTGTGCACGGGAGAGAACCGGACAGACGCCGTTCCTTCGCTTGACCCCAGTTGCTCTCGTCCGTTCTCCCGTAACACTGCTCTTTTATTGAGGCTACATGAATATGCATAGGTTCATTAACATATGACGTCTACAAAAACACAAAGAGTACCTTGCCTTTGTGTGTGTGTGTGTGTGTATATATGTGTGTGTGTGTGTGTGTGTGTGTGTGTGTGTGTGTGTGTGTGGGTGTTGTACTGCTGATCAAAGGGTCATATAACATGAAAGCACAAAAGCAAACATCCTTGATCAGGAAGAGGGTAGTCTCACCCTAGATGCTTCACCCTAGATAACACGGTGAGGAAGTCCAGCAGTTGAAGCACTTAGACTAGAACAGACGTAGCTACAATAATCTTACCATAAAACAACAAGACAAGGTACGACCTCTCTCGTGCTCCCAAAGTGCTCTCTAATGCACACAAAGTTTGCAGACTATCAAGGATCAAAACCTCTACCAATCTACAACTAATTACAAAACTCTAAGCATATATAAGTAAATATTTCTAAGCATAAATGGCAATCAACAATACAAAACCTAACATTCCCCCCTTTTGACCTTTATGCTAGAAAAGTTCCCAGTTATGAATACCTCATGTCTGACAGTTTCAATGCAAACATTTTTATACTCAGCATATGTCAAATCACCCTAAATTACTGTAAAGGTACACAGTTTAACAAATGTATTAGCAGTTATCCCATTCCTCATTGATCTCATCCAATGGCAAACTGCATCCTACGAGCAAACAAAGAAATTGTTAATTTAATAATTGAAATAAAAAAGTAACATTTTCAAAAACATCTCAGCTTGGTGGTGCTTCCTCCGGGTGTGCAAATCACATCTCTCTCTGCAGAGTGGTTTGAGTTCTGCAGTTTCTGCATAAATGTCTCTTCCAGTTGTTTCCATCACTGTCCATAGGACCAGAGTCCAAATGTATGTAGAATAGACATTAAAACATACCAGTTGGTTTTGTTGTTTGTCAACATGGGTCTCAGCTATCTCCAAAGCTGCAGACCTCACTTCAGGCCTTCGTCTTGTGAGGGGGATACTTATGACTCCTCCACTGTCCACGCTCTGCAGAAAACCCCTCTGTGGAAAGGGTGCTGGGTTCAGTTATCTTACTGCTGTTATGATCCCAGCAGCCTTCAGAGTGTCATCGTATGCACAGCATAGTGGCACAGCATTAGGTGATGTTCATAGGAAACTGCTGTCATCACCAGTGTTGGTCAAGTTACTTGAAAAAAGTAATCAGTAACTAATTACTGATTACTTCCACAAAAAAGTAATCCCGTTACTTTACTGATTACTTATTTTCAAAAGTAATTAATTACTTAGTTACTTAGTTACTTTTTAAAACCACGATTTACAACCTGAAGAGGTTATAAAGCGATAGATCTTTCAGCCCAGTTCTACTTTTTCTACATAATCCATCATACAAAATGTAATCAAATGGAAAAGTCTCTTTTTTTAACTTGTTTTATCAGTTTTAATCTTTTAACTTTATGCATCAAGCAAAAATTTAATTATATGCAACATTCTCTGACATGAATAAATTAGTTTAACATTTAAACCTATTTTCTACACATTCCAGCTCATAAAATAAAATATTTTTTGTGTTTACACTCACTCTTTCAAATAGATGCAAGTAAAACACAGCAGAAAGTAAATAAAGTCAAAGACTCAGTGGTCCTGTTGCTCTATTTTCACCTGTAAAGCAGGACTGCGGTAGGCGGAGGTTTACCCTGGTGCAGGTGTGCCGCGGTCAGTTGAAGAATCCGCGAGTTACTCTGTGAGTTTCCCCATTACGTCGTTGCGCACTCGGTGCTTGCTTGGAAGTTTAGGGGTTTTTTTTGCTGTAAAAAGAAGTTTTCTTCCCACGCACGATGGACGCTAATGTTTTTGTCACTTTTTATGGAATCAAACTCAAAGTAAGGTCAGTACTTCCACGCTTTAAACGCTGCACGCTCATACTCTCTCCCACAGTCGATATGTGATCCATTGTTGATCTGCACACAGCTGTTGTCACTAACGGCGCACTCGCTTACGTCACTGTCGTGAGACATTCTCGCAAAAAATCACGGTTTTAGTAACGCAGTAACGCAGCGTTCCTACGGGAAAGTAACTGTAATCTAATTACCGTTTTTGCAATAGCAATCCCTTACTTTACTCGTTACTTGAAAAAAGTAATCAGATTACAGTAATGCGTTACAAGTAACGCGTTACTGCCCATCTCTGGTCATCACCACCATAGCTTCTGGTTCCTGTGCTTTCACAGAATCACGATGCCATCCTTAGACTCCCTCTGAGTTGTCGATGGAGCTTGGCACGCTCCCCTCATCCTTCAGGTGCCCGTCCGTTGTCCACAATCTCCTCTGTTGACCTCTGGAAATCCCCCTTGGCACAGCTCTCATTCCAATGCAGTTTCATGGTCCTTGCTGTGGCTCCAAGGTCTGATCTCATGATGGGCCCCAACCAGCTTGACCTTTGACCTCAACCACTGCCTGGGCTGTCAGCTGTGCCTGGAATGGTTCTTGCTTCTCACTGGGCCTCTGAAGATTTCTCAGGAGATCACTGCTGCACCTGTATTTCCTTGCTAGGAGGAAAAACTTCTATTTGGAGAGCATGTCAACAATCATCAAACCACATTCTTTAGTTCAGTGAACTTCACTTATAGGCCATCAAAGCCTCATCTGAACATGGATGCACCACTTGCATAGGTTTAATACCTGTGAATGAACGGTTAATCACACAAATCACTGCAACAATAATAGAAAACATTGTTTAATGTTAATCCTGGACCCCGCCTCTTGACGCATGGACACTCCCATGAGTCAACTCATCAAACCTGGATTCCTGTCTTAAAGAAAAAGGTTAGCGAGATCATGTCCCAGGCAACATCAGGGCATCTCCGCTGGAGTAGCTCCGTAACCCTGCAATAAAATATGTTAGTGTGTTTTGCATATTAAGTTTGCTTAACACCTGGCTCTGCCAGGAGCCTGCATACACACCATCATGGCCTGGAAAACAAGATCTGGAAGTGAAATCAAACTTCACACTTGTAACCAATTATATCATAAGAGCAATAAGAATTCAACATCAACAAGACAAGTGTCATGTGCAGGTTTTCTCAAATCAGTAAACTACAACTATTACCATAATTTGCCTCAGACATGGATCATCCCATGTGCTCAGTTAACATTAATGTAATCGGTGACTTCCCTTAAGCAAAGTCACTCCACTCATATATTACTAGGAGCTCAAAAGTGGCCAGCAAATGAGCTCCATATTAAACTATCCCATAAACACTGCATCTCTTATTTGTTTTTCTCATGTCACTTGTCCACTTCTGCTGAATCCTCTACATGTACTCTTAGAAAAACAAACATTAGCAATACACATTGACTGTGGTTAGACGCAGGTCAACAGGTTCCAGAGGTGCCATAAAAAGACCATAAAGTTAGCCATCCATAGCTGTGGAAAGAAGCGACACTAATTTTCAACACAGGAAATTTCTCACATGTTATTCACATTGTCAAAGTAACCTTCACATTTTCCCAAAAACACAGTGTAACAG